GCTCAGGACTCATCTCCCCTTCTCATATCTATGATTCATTTCTCAACATAAAATCAGTCACGAACAGCAGATTTCTGTGTAAATATGGTTGTGACTAACTCAATCTAACCCTGCAAATCTTGCTTCCAAGATGAATACAAATAACAAAATCTGAAATTGATGTCTTCATTACACCCTTTGTTATGAAAATCAAAATGTAACTCAGATCTATTGTAAAACTTGCAATAAACATGCCAGGAAGAAAGAGACTGGAGCTGTTTTGGAAGCAGCTACATGCTGTCTAAATCAGTCTTTTGTGCCCAGGACTCTGACAGAGATGGATAGCACAGATTTCTTTTCAAATGTGTCTTACAGGCAAAAAACCTTTCAATGTCACTGATTTTATGTCTCTTTTCTATTTTGATCAATGACTGCTAAATTATATATGTGTGCATAGAATGGAACAATAAGGCATTTTACGTTAGCCTGCCAGCAAGCTGCGTGGACATCACTCACACCATAACTTGCCTAATCAAGGTTCAGGTATAATTTTTCAACATCTCCTTCCTGTGCTTCAGCTATCCTGTGCAAACAATGACGTATTAATGCCAAGCTACAGAACATTTTCTTCCTGCTTAGTAGCATTCCCAAGGATGTGCTACCAGAGCTTCTGGTCCAGCTTACAGTAAGTCAGTCAGCTATTTTATGCACAGCTACGGTTCCACAACTGGATTCGATTACACAGCATTACAAGGAACGGTGTGACCTGAAATATATTTTTAAAATTTAACATTTAGTAACACACAGGGTCACAGTGTTGCTTGTTTGCCCTATTCCCGTTATTCCTGAACTGGATTAAAAATCTGCCTCCTCTTCAGTTTCATTGATATATCAGCCAGCAAATTAAACCCAGTGAGGCAAATAAAGACTAGCCAAAAGCTTTACATTCTGCAGAAGACAAAACAGGGTTGAATGAATAAATTTAGTTGCAAACATTGGCAAAAACCAAAGTGCGACGGACTCTCTGTACACGAGTACTGAGAGATTTGAACAGAATTGCATACTATACAACCACACCAAAGTAAGTCCTGGAGCCTGGGCCTTTGGTAGTTCTTGTAGTACGCTTGCAGTAGCAAGGTGCCCCTAAGATACTCAGGTTCGCTTTTGCGCACAAAGGATGTCTGTGTGAGGCTTCTGCAGCATGGCTCTCACAAGTAGTTGGCAACAGGCATCTTTATAATACCCTTCTGCAGTAGCTGAGAACTGATGCTATCAAAGCTGATGCTTCCAGCTTATCTTGAGGAAAGAAGAAAGGAGCAATGCAGAAATTATGACTTACAATGGCCACTTTTTGCCCGAATTACATAAAACAGAGTCTATTCGATGGTATGAATGTAAAGGTATTTTGCATACCAGTTTTGAATTGGTTTTAAAATACCATTCCTTTTACAGACCTCTTTCCCACTTTTCATCTTTGCCAGATGTAAACACCAGGTTTTTGTACAGACTATGGAATACATAAACTATTCTGTGCAGCTTCTACAATAAATCTGATTATTAGAACAAGAAAGAAATACAGAAAATCCAGAAAATTCTCTTAAGGAGAGTGCACAGCCTTACTTTCACACATATGCCAAGTTAAACAGGGTACTCTTCACAAAACCTTTCAAAAATATCTCCTTAATTTGCAGAGCTCTGTCTCTTTGGTCTATCATGATTGCTTTTCTCCTTACTTTCCTGCTTTTCTGCCAGATAAAAAGACTCGGTTTATGCCCTTAACTTCCAAGAACTAGCACCATCATGACAGGAAAATTGAGCTTAACCAAAATAATTCCCAGCTGCAGTGAATGGGCCGTGAGCTCATGATGCACAGTGAGGTGTGCTGGGCACGGACAAGTTGGTATCTGGATTTTCAAAGTGCAAAGATTTCTACTTGCTGCTTTCTACAATCATAAAAGGCAGATTAAATTGATGGACTTAAATAGAGCAAATGCAAGGGTGGCTGAGACATGCTGAGATCCCTAACACACTTTACTGCCTTGATTCTCTAAACAAAACGTATTTGGAAAATACTTTTCCTTCTCCCGTCCTAGATATCATTTGTTTAGCTGAATGTCATTAAGGCTCCACTTAAATTAAAAACAAACAAACAAACAAACAAGCCAAAAAAAGACAATAAAGGGAAGTATAATGAGTTTTTCTTGTAAACTACTTGCTTTAAAATATCGCAGTATGCTGTAAGAGAAAATCATGCTTATGAAAAGTCAGCTATACTCAAGCATAACAGCCTAGACTAAACCCGTTGGTCTGTCTGCAGCACAGCAAAGTACTGTAATTAGCATCATAAACTCCTTCCCACTGTTATTTTGCACTGACTTATTAACATACACATCTTTCAGCAATGTCCTATAAATACGGTCAGTGTTTCTACTACACTGAGCTTTTGCTGGTTCTCAGAACAGCAAGTTTCTTCGGGAGAGACAATGCTAAGCAATCTAGTAGTTTAAAACTTCCGTAGACTCCACGTCAAAGCCACAGCAACATACCCTCCCTACTTGTGTTCACTTTACCTCTTAGATTTATATCTGGGCAAACGGGTGCACATGAAAGTCTCTGAAATCAGGAGCTTTAATAGACGGCAAAACCAGCAAAGAATATGCTGAGGGGTGAAAAACCTACAGCAGTCTCATGTACAAATATATACACCTGCCGCCTGCTTTAATACAGTGCTATAATGTAAATGCTCTCAATGTCACTCACATAGACTAAAACAAGCACACAATGCCATTTACTGATCAAAGCACATGACTTTAAATGTATCCCATGTTTCCTTCAATTTTTAAAACATAATTAACCTTTCACTCTCTAGTTGTTTGGTGGAAATGTCATGCAAGAGTCTCATTGTCTACTCTATGTCTACAAAGTCTACTCTAATGCAGTAACTGACCAGTGCCTCCACTGGAGGTGCTCACACCAGTTGTGGAACCAGAAAAAAAATGCAATTACTTTGTGACATATGCACTTAATGATGTTAGATTGCCATTCGTGGAAATTCTACCACCCACCTAGCATGGCATCCCCGTAGTTGCCTCTCAGTATCCAAAATTCACTATAATTTAACTCCAGAAAAACTCCAGGTCCCAAATGACAGCAAGTGGCATTGCTCAGACATACAGAAAGTCACTGTGCGACTTACAGTTCATTTGGCCTAGCGAGTCTTAAGATTTGAAAACTTACAAAACTATTTCATCTACTTCACTTCCTTTTGCATTAACTTTTCCCAGCTTGGTCAAGGGAAAGGTGGAAAAGAAATCATTCATTTTGTCACCCATCAGGCTGATTTCACAGGAAACTATTATTCACAAATGTGGAGCCAAACTGAGTTTGCAATGTGAGATCAGTAATGGATTTCCAGCAAGTTTTACACCAGTTTGACTGTCCAGAGCTCTTGAACTACACTGAATTTCACAACAGTACGTTTCAGCAAATATGAGGAGTGCAATGTGCAGAGTACCGAGAAATACCTTTATTGTATTTATAGGCACCGAACGCCCCTGTGAAGCTGTTTGCTATGGTCTACCATTTGCAGAGTTCAATCAGAACAGCAAGTTAAGGGAAGCAAAGCAGAAAAAGTATCACAGTGATTTAGATAAAATCAGTTCTAAAATAATCCCAACATTCACACTCAGTAGGTAGTGAAACAATTGCTTTACTCAGCTGAGAGTGTGGAAACATGAGAGAGTGATCAGAAACATACTGGTTGCTTCAGAAAGGACTTGCTGCATGCAGCCTATAACTTGGTCCTTCAAGAACTGGGCTTACTGCAGTAAAATAGTTCTTGCCAGTATACGTGAGAGGAATGTCAAGTACAGGTAAGACAGTACGCGCAAAAATCACACCTATGTGGTTTCAAATCCATGTCCCTGAGTGCTGTGCATGTTTGGGCAAGCAAATTATGCCAGTTTATGAAGAAGCTGTTTCTGTACCAATTCACATCATTGATGCTCAAAAATGCCAAGACATAAAGGACAGAATTAAACAAATTTAGAAATGAACTCCACAATGCTGTCTCCACATTCTGAATACTCTCGTCCATTTATAGCAGCTTTACTGTTAGATAATATGAACTCCAAGAAAGTTTTACTGAACAAATATATCCTCTTATAGAAAGAGCTAATGCATTCCCCTGTGCACACAAAATAGTGGTACTATTTTGTTCACACATGTTTTTCTTCACTGAGAGAACGTGCCACATCTTTGAATCATTTGCTTTATCTGTCTAGTAGGAAGAAACACGTTCCTCCCAGGAACACTTACAGTCAGCCTGGCTCTGATACAGAAGGCTGTTTTAAATGTTCAGTGTTCATTCCATAACCCTAAAATACATTGCAATAAAAGAAGACTAGAAGACAGAAAGTCAGTATGAACCCACCACCTCCTCTAGAGCATCCACTGGCAGTAGAGCAAAAAGGGAAGATACAGAGATAAGACCGACCATGTTGTCCAGCGGCTCAAGGCAGGCAGAGCTCCCGCCCTCTGAACTCAGGATTCAGCTGGGGAACCTCCCCGATGCAGGAGAACTCAAAATGAGGAAACAGCCACTTCTAATACGCAGCAAATTTAATTCCATCCAAAGTTTGCAGAACAGTCACTATACTCCAAGTGAAGTTGTACTGGTATGCCATAAGGAAACCAAGTAACCCAGAGCACTATTTTTGCTCTCTTATTTTTCCCTTCAGCCTCCTCCCTTCACCTTTTCTATCAGCACCCAAAGCCATGCAGACCTATAAGACAATCCAGACTGCCTCACAAGTTCAGGCAAACGATACAACATACACATAATCTCTAAAATGCATTAGCTTTTCTGCACTGTATCCTTGTAATTATTTTGGTGTTTATTCTGTTTAACGTTTCATGTAGACATTTTATGACTCTAACAAAGATTAACTTTAGAAGAATCATATCAGTGCTCCTAAATACCGCCATCCTGTTATTTCCTTTCACGAATATACAGCTCTTACCTGTACATGAATAATCATCAATGCGTATGTATCCTGTTTTGCAGATACACATAAAGGATCCTGGTGTGTTTACGCACATGGTATTCTCACGACAGTAGTGCCGTCCTTCAGCACACTCATCAATATCTGTGAATAAGGCAAAGAGGAACACGAGTCAAATTCAGCGGCGTCCTTTACAATCTCTCGATACACCACTGTTCACTTCCATCAGTAGTGGGTTAGACTAAAAAGCTACTTGAGCACCAATGCATTTTGGAAAGATTTTTGGCTTTTTCCTTTAAAACAACTGCTTGAAGTGTTCAAACAAGAGAAGCAGCATGAGCTTTCTGTGAAGAGCTGTTAGTGGAGTTACAAAGAAGATTACGTGGGCTTACATCTTTCCCTTTGAAGAGCCTAGAATGTTATTCCTATGATTTAAATAAGTGCAAAAAAAAATAACTGGCGTATCATACAGCAAACCAACTGCACTTCAACATCATCCATCACTGTAGCTGTATAGTTACTGCAGTCATCAGTATATAAACACGCTACTATATGCACACTATATGCCTTTGATCTAACAGGTATTGTTGTTTGGGAAGGAACTGTAAGGAACATGATAAGATCTGAAAAGACACTGGAACTTATTATAAGTTTCTCTTAGGACTATAAAGTAGACAATTGGTAATTTTAATATATATAAACACATATATCTATACATATCTACATACATATCTATATAGATACATATACACACACCATATCTGAAGGGAACCTGAAAGAATCTGATTTATAGATTCTCTGATAGAAAAAATTGCAACTTGATAAAATACTTGTTGGAGGGGAATACCTGCTGCAGTATTAAGTTCTAGAGCAAACTCCAGACATAAATCACTGTAGGCATGGACTTCAAAACCTGATTGGTTTTGGTACTCCCTCGGGCTGCAAAATTAGGCGTATATCTTGTAGCAGGTTATACTGTAGTGGTATGACAGTGAAAGCACCACAAATGACAAAAAAACCCTTCTGCACCCTATTATTTTGCTGCAAAGAAGAAAAGCTATATTAATTTGGAAGTGATTAGTAGTACGCTGTTCCTGTAATACTAACGATAAAGACAGCATTACTGAGATGCTCTGTACGTCTAGTTATATTGTCATGCAATGTGCCACTGAACCTTGCTACAAAAGTGTGTTAAAAATCAAAGGGGTGGATTGTTGGCTTGTTTTTTTTTCCTGCTCATCAGTTTTGATTCCCTCCCTTTTTTCAATGATGTTTACAGCTTTCAGAGTTGAAAATAAAATCTCTGGATGGAAAACAGTGTTGTGTTCCAGAGTCTGACGATAGTTCAAAACAATAGACTGTATATATAAACTCAAATCAGGGTTGACTTCTTAATGCTGTCATGCTAAATGTCAACAGTGTTAAATCCTGTACTTTACTCCCGTTTAGGTCGCATGCTTATCTCCCAATTCTTCCTCCTCTTCCCAGCATCTTTAAATCAATAGCTACTTACCAAGTGAACTCATTGCCTGCTTGTTTTCCCTCTTTACATTCCCAGAAAAAAATTTGCCTTCCAGTACAAAACAATGCAACACACCGAATATTAATGATTCTGTAGTCATTTTCCAGTTTCATTCAGTTTTGAAAAAAACTTCTATTTTCTCCAGTTTCTCTGCCCAGTGCAACTGTTCTGCTGGATTCTGCTGGAGAAGCTGGGGGCAATTGGCTACAAACCATGAAGGTGTCGACTGCGATGCTCAGGGTAGTGAGCCCAGCCTGCTTTGCACAAATTCCTAAGAGTTTCACAGTCAATATACTTCAGCTGGTTTCCTTCCCTTCCTTTCCCTGTAAGATCTGCAGGCATGGAAGAATCATACCTCCATTAGGGTGTTGGTTTGGAAAAGCTAATTTTGTCATTTTCATGGTCATACATACATGCACAATTAAATGTGTATTTACAGTGAGCACAGTGAGCATACTAAAGCTCAAAACACATCTTGTGAAAGTCACCTAAGAAAGCAAAACCGAAGTGAAGCTATCACAAGACTACCACGGAGGCAGCTGGTTTTGCATGGAAAGTGGAAAATGGCACAGATCTGACGTACAGATGTTCTGCAGAAACATAAATGTGCAGTTCACAAAACCAGCCAGCAGTTACAACATATGCCTCAGCTACTACCACAAACAATGCAACTTGTGTCTTTCATAGTTCCAGTTCACAACTCCATATTAAATTAATGGTGTTGATTTGTATTTAAGTAACAACATCAGTCTTCAAGTAATTAGAGGCCTTATGCTCTTGGAGTCAACAGACTGCCTAGGAACTGGCTTTGGCACCCTCAGAAAATTCTATTTAAAGATCCAAAGCCTCAAAAATATTAAATAGAACTTTCTGAAATCTATATTAATGATTGCTTTGGCAGGTAAATAGCCACAGGAGACCCAAAACACTAATGGTTTTCATTTTACAGTGAAAAACTTAAAGCCAGAGCTACTTTGATTCAACCCTCCTAATTCAGAAGTGTTCTAAATAAAAGCTTTCATTTCGCCAACATACCACATACTGAGGTTTTGCAAAATGTTTTATTTATAATTGCCTTTATTTCAAAACCTTGCTTGTTACAAACAAAAAAGAAAAAAACCACAACTGATCAGATTAACTTTGGATTGAAGTGTTTCATTTGAACAAATCTGATTTTTTTTTTCAAACTGATTTGCAAAGATACTGTCCACATGTTTTAAATGCTCACTAGAAAACAAAACTCAAAAAAGCTAGAGAGCCTATAGAGAATGCAAAGGAAATGAAGTCATTATTATTGCTACTATCACATTATTATTATATTACAGTGGCATCTAAAGACCCTAATTAAGTGTCAAAACTCCATTGCACTACACCATGGATGCACAGCTGATAAGAAGCTGCTTTTAAAAACAGTTTGCAACTTTAGCACTAAATTACATCACCACTGGACACAAAAGGTAATTAATACAAAAAGGATAAACAGTCGAATGACAACTAGTCACACAGAGATAGATCACACTAAAAACATGCAATTCCATTCCCCCTTTAGCACTGCATATGCAAGGTTTGTATACATTAGGTTAAGATATTACAGATCAAGGAAGACTGAACTGGGGCAGGGA